GTGCCCAGTACTCTCAGTCTGTCTCTGTATATAGTGCTGAGTACTCTCAGTCTGTCTCTCTATATAGTGCCGAGTACTCTCAGTCTGTCTCTGTATATAGTGCTCGGTACTCTCAGTCTGTCTCTGTATATAGTGCCCAGTACTCTCAGTCTGTCTCTGTATATAGTGCTCGGTACTCTCAGTCTGTCTCTGTATATAGTGCCCAGTACTCTCAGTCTGTCTCTGTATATAGTGCTGAGTACTCTCAGCCTGTCTCTCTATATAGTGTCGAGTACTCTCAGTCTGTCTCTGTATATAGTGCTCGGTACTCTCAGTCTGTCTCTGTATATAGTGCCGAGTACTCTCAGTCTGTCTCTGTATATAGTGCTCAGTACTCTCAGTCTGTCTCTGTATATAGTGCTCGGTACTCTCAGTCTGTCTCTGTATATAGTGCTCGGTACTCTCAGTCTGTCTCTGTATATATTGCCCAGTACTCTCAGTCTGTCTCTGTATATAGTGCTCGGTACTCTCAGTCTGTCTCTGTATATAGTGCCAAATACTCTCAGTCTGTCTCTGTATATAGTGCCCAGTACTCTCAGTCTGTCTCTGTATATAGTGCCCAGTACTCTCAGTCTGTCTCTCTATATAGTGCCCAGTACACTCACTCTCTGTATAGTGGCTGGAAGGGAGTAGAGTGTCTCAGTGAGTGTGTCTACCTTGCTGTCAGTGTGTGTGCCCCAGTCCAGGCCGGTTGCAGTCTCTGTATCTCACACAGTGTCCCATGCTCCCTCAGATCCCAAATAAAAAAAAAAAAACAGAGCCAAACCCCATGGCAGGGTCACTGTTCTGCCCTGCCCCTTAAAGAAACAGCTGCAGCCTGAGTCAGTGAGTACAGAGCACTCTGCATTTAGCACTGCTGTCACCGAATACCTCTTCCACATACTGCAACAATGTCACAATACCAACAATCATTTACTAATACCGTCAAACTAGTGTCATCAAGTACCATTAAACCATCACTCAGAGACACTGTATACCTCTTACTGCTACTGAATATCACCCAGTGCCAACAAGTACCATTAAACTGTCACCCAGAGACACTGTATACCTCTTACTGACACTAAATATCACCCAGTGCCACCAAGTACCATTAAACCATCACACAGAGACACTGTATACTCCTTACTGCCACTAAATATCACCCAGTGCCACCAAGTACCATTAAACCATCACCCAGAGACACTGTATACCATTTACTGCCACTGAATATCACCCAGTGCCACCAAGTAGCATTAAACTGTCACCCAGAGACACTGTATACCTCTTACTGCCACTAAATATCACCCAGTGCCACCAAGTAGCATTAAACTGTCACCCAGAGACACTGTATACCTCTTACTGCCACTAAATATCACCCAGTGCCACCAAGTAGCATTAAACTGTCACCCAGAGACACTGTATACCTCTTACTGCCACTACATATCACCTAGTGCCACCAAGTATACACCCAGAGACACTGTATACCATTTACTGCCACTGAATATCACCTAGTGCCATCAAGTACCATTAAACTGTCACCCAGAGACACTGTATACCTCTTACTACCACTAAATATCACCCAGTGCCACCAAGTACCATTAAACCATCACTCAGAGACACTGTATACCCCTTACTGCCACTAAATATCCCCCAGTGCCACCAAGTACCATTAAACCATCACTCAGAGACACTGTATACCTCTTACTGCCACTGAATATCACCCAGTGCCACCAAGTACCATTAAACCATCACCCAGAGACACTGTATACCATTTACTGCCACTGAATATCACCTAGTGCCACCAAGTAGCATTAAACTGTCACCCAGAGACACTGTATACCTCTTACTGCCACTGAATATCACCCAGTGCCACCAAGTAGCATTAAACTGTCACCCAGAGACACTGTATACCTCTTACTGCCACTAAATATCACCCAGTGCCACCAAGTAGCATTAAACTGTCACCCAGAGACACTGTATACCTCTTACTGCCACTACATATCACCTAGTGCCACCAAGTATACACCCAGAGACACTGTATACCATTTACTGCCACTGAATATCACCTAGTGCCACCAAGTACCATTAAACTGTCACCCAGAGACACTGTATACCTCTTACTGCCACTAAATATCACCCAGTGCCACCAAGTACCATTAAACCATCACTCAGAGACACTGTATACCCCCCTTACTGCCACTAAATATCACCCAGTGCCACCAAGTACCATTAAACTGTCACCCAGAGACACTGTATACTCCTTACTGCCACTAAATATCACCCAGTGCCACCAAGTACCATTAAACCATCACTCAGAGACACTGTATACTCCTTACTGCCACTAAATATCACCCAGTGCCACCAAGTACCATTAAACCATCACCCAGAGACACTGTATACCATTTACTGCCACTGAATATCACCTAGTGCCACCAAGTAGCATTAAACTGTCACCCAGAGACACTGTATACCTCTTACTGCCACTAAATATCACCCAGTGCCACCAAGTAGCATTAAACTGTCACCCAGAGACACTGTATACCTCTTACTGCCACTAAATATCACCCAGTGCCACCAAGTAGCATTAAACTGTCACCCAGAGACACTGTATACCTCTTACTGCCACTACATATCACCTAGTGCCACCAAGTATACACCCAGAGACACTGTATACCATTTACTGCCACTGAATATCACCTAGTGCCACCAAGTACCATTAAACTGTCACCCAGAGACACTGTATACCTCTTACTGCCACTAAATATCACCCAGTGCCACCAAGTACCATTAAACCATCACTCAGAGACACTGTATACCCCTTACTGCCACTAAATATCCCCCAGTGCCACCAAGTACCATTAAACCATCACTCAGAGACACTGTATACCTCTTACTGCCACTGAATATCACCCAGTGCCACCAAGTAGCATTAAACCGTCACCCAGAGACACTGTATACCATTTACTGCCACTGAATATCACCTAGTGCCACCAAGTAGCATTAAACTGTCACCCAGAGACACTGTATACCATTTACTGCCACTGAATATCACCTAGTGCCACTGTCACCCAGAGACACTGTATACCTCTTACTGCCACTACATATCACCTAGTGCCACCAAGTATACACCCAGAGACACTGTATACCATTTACTGCCACTAAATATCCCCCAGTGCCACCAAGTACCATTAAACCATCACTCAGAGACACTGTATACCTCTTACTGCCACTAAATATCACCCAATGCCATCAGGTGCCATTACACCATCACTCAGAGACACTGTATACCTCTTACTGCCACTAAATATCACCCAGTGCCACCAAGTACCATTAAACCATCACTCAGATACACTGTATACCTCTTACTGCCACTAAATATCACCCAGTGCCAACAAGTACCATTAAACCATCACTCAGAGACACTGTATACCCCTTACTGCCACTAAATATCACCCAGTGCCATCAAACCATCACTCAGAGACACTGTATACCTCTTACTGCCACTAAATATCCTCCAGTGCCACCAAGTACCATTAAACCATCACTCAGAGACACTGTATACCTCTTACTGCCACTACATATCACCTAGTGCCACCAAGTATACACCCAGAGACACTGTATACCATTTACTGCCACTGAATATCACCTAGTGCCACCAAGTACCATTAAACCGTCACCCAGAGACACTGTATACCTCTTACTGCCACTAAATATCACCCAGTGCCACAAAGTACCATTAAACCATCACTCAGAGACACTGTATACCCCTTACTGCCACTAAATATCACCCAGTGCCATCAAACCATCACTCAGAGACACTGTATACCTCTCACTGCCACTAAATATCCTCCAGTGCCACCAAGTACCATTAAACCGTCACTTAGAGACACTGTATACCTCTTACTGCCACTAAATATCACCCAGTGCCACCAAGTACCATTAAACCGTCACCCAGAGACACTGTATACCTCTTACTGACACTAAATATCACCCAGTGCCACAAATACTTCTCACTGTCATTATACATAACTCAGCACCATATAATACCTTTCAAAGCCACTAAATACCATTTTAGACTAATCAATTCCAACAAATACTCAGTGCTACTGTGTAGCGGATTGTATTGATGCTGTCCATAGAAATCTGTATAGAAAATGTATTCGCATAATTGTTTCCCTGTATATCTGTAAAGTGTATGTAGTATTCCTATGATGGTTCGGTAGTTTCATACGAATGAAACTACCGAACCATCAGACCACCCCAGTGAGAAGTGTGCGCCTTGTTAAGCGTTCACACTCTGCAAACCGCAGTTTAATTGATTCATTGTATGTGCCTGTGTGGTCGCCGTTCAGCATACGAACCACGTGCGGCGGCCAGATTACGCATGAAAATCTCAGCGGTGTTTGGTCGTCGAGTGTCTGGAACTCAAATCGGACACTCAAACAACCGAACACCACTGAGACCTCCAGAGTTCCATAACTCACGAACGGAGGGACTAGTCAGCCCTCTGTTCGGTAAAATCAATGTCCCGAACAAGGGGATTGATGCGAATGGAATATTAACTCCCGAACAGAGACCGACCGCAAGGCCAAAACACATGGAGCCTTTTTTGGATATCACCTCGTGTGTGCAGTCGGTCAAATTACACCCCCAACCTAACTCCCGAACCCCTGGTCCGATCTGGGTGAATTTTGGATACGTTAGTCACCCAGATCACGGCTACCAGGGTGTACCCAAAGTATTATTCTAACTGCTTGTTTTGGGTGAACATCTAGAATTCAGGGAAAAGTACAGTATATTTAATAGGATTATGTGTCACACTGAGGGGAGGAGATGTGTGGGAGGTACTGTTACAGTAATGGCTACTGGACTAATTATGGTGAATCCCTCCCTTGCATGGGAGAATGCTTTAAAAGGAGGTTGTGTGGATTAAAAGTCAGTTATGCTCCTGATGCCTTACTGGGATCTTTAGTGGAATTAACCTGTGAAAGACCAGCTCTCCGCTACATACTGGATGCCACTCAAGGCAGTATGCCACCAAGTACTTGAGAATGCTAAATTGCCGTTAAATACCTCTTGGTGCTATTTAATACCACTAAATACTAACTACTGCCAATGAATAGTAATCAAAGCCTCTCAGTACCACTATATCTTTCATTACCACTCTATACCTATCAGCAACACCACATGCATCCCAATGCAACTAAACACAACCATTGGCACAAAAAAACTTTTCCATGCCACTAGATACCACTCACTGCCACGATATGGCACTCAATGATGCCAAATCCAACTCAATACTTCTCAAAGCCACTAAATACCACCCGTGGCACTAACTACACCTGAATACTATGTCTCTCAACACTATAAATAACTCTCAGTGTTACCCATCCAGTACCACCAAGTACCTCTAAATATCACTTGTTGCCATTTAATGCCTCTAAAGGATACCAAGTGATCATTTAACCTTTCCTGGTAAGTTTTATCCTGCAATCCATTAACCAGCCCTTCTCTGAACTCTCTCTAAAGTATCAATCTACTTTGACCATCAGACCACCAACACTCCCGGTTTACACCATCACTTCACAATCATTGCACTATGTGCACACCAGGTTTACACCAACACTTTAACACTCCCCAACATGAACTCAGCAGTAAATAATCAGTACACCCTTTTTTTCTGTTCACATATTGTGGTGTTGGTTATTTCGCACCGTTTGCACTATATTTTAAATATTTTTTCGTAATATATTATCATTCCATAAACTA